AAACACCACTGCCAGTGCTTTGATAGAAATCCAGGCTTGTCCCATTCCAAGAGACTCAGGCTTTTTACCCCAAAGGTCAGCTTGTTCATGATAAAGTGGGGATTGAGAAGCCTTTTCTTTTTTACATTTCTCCCTGCTTTGTTTGTTGTTTTTTGTTTTTATTTTTGGTTTTTTTTTAAACATATGGGCTAATTCCAGTATTAATTGCTTCAACTCTTATTTCACCATGGTAAAAAATAAATTTCCATAGTTTCTTGCCCATTACTATTTATAGCTTTCTCCTTTACTGACTGTTTTCCTCCTCTGCACAAGACCATAAATACATTAAAGAGCAAAGGAAGGAATGATTGGTTTGTCTTTGACACATAGGCTCTCAAGCTTGTTGATATTAGTCACGTTAATTCATCATCTTATGGACTATATGTTTCATTAACGGAAACATCATCTGATTCAAAAACTCAGATCCTGACCGCTCCTGAAAAAAATACACACTCTTGACATGAAGGTGACTTATTGATACCAGTTGCCACAAAAAACATGCCAGATAGGTCAGATGTGGTTAAACTGGCTCTTGGATTTCTGACCAGCAGCCAGGCTTTGCCTGTCATAATTTTCCTTGATTTTCACTTCTCTGGGAATTATTTAAGAATATTATTATACAAGTATAATGAGCTGAAATCCCCCTGCTTCAGCTTGGCCTTGGCAATACTATTTCCCCCCTCCTCTGCAGTGAGAAGGATCTGACTCGATTCAGCCACTTGCATTTTCCTCTCACTGAAAATTTCCTTGGTCAGCAGTGCAGGGAGGTGCAGTCTGTGTTTGCAAACCTGCTGCTTCATTTACAGCCTGTGCAACTTCGACACTGTTTTCTTGTGATCCATCCTAGGGAACAAAAACCCCACCGAGCAAGGTACATGATCAAACTACCTCTGAAATTCCTGCTCTATCTGAACTGCCACTGAGTCTTTCTGAAGCCTTTGAGTTAGGAAGTGGCATGTTTCCTGAGAGCTGATAGTCTATGTTTTGGATAAAGTCATGGCAGAAATGTCACACTGGAAATGTCCCAGTGGATTTTTACACCCATTTAATCATCCTTTGGAGAAATGAGGCATGTATCACTGGTGATAGGAGTGCTGTATATTGACTTTCCAGCTCTGCTGGACATAGCTTAATCACATTTGATTAATAAAAACAAAACATAAATTGTGCTTTGTTCTCTGGAAGAGGTTTCCTTTTTTCCCCCTCCTTTGTGTTTTCTTTCTTTCCACCCTGTGGTTTTATTTGTCTGTCTCTGATAACATGACAAATTAGAATGAAAGACAATTAATTAGCTTTATATGGGAATGCTGAATTATGCTGTCTTTGGGTCACAGTTACAAACAGAAGCATCTTGTCTGGAAGCATGAATTTCACTAAAATATTGCATAAAATGCATTCAGTTAAACCAATGCAATCTGCTTAAATATTTGTTCTTGTGGATGAGGGAAAACCAGCTGATAAATATTTTACGATGGATCGTGCAGTTACTAAATTAAAGTGAATTAATATAGTTTATGCTTTTGTGATTGACCAGCACAAGCTATGTTGCTGTAATCCATCTGTAAACTGTCTGCACCTCCAGCCTTTTTTGAGGCTCTCTTTCATCAAAACCAGGCAGTTTTCCTGTATCCTTTGTCATGCTCTGCATGCACAAATAAGGCCATTGCCACTGAGACAGTCCATTAAACTGATTTTTCAAGCACACAAAAAGCACTTTCTAGTGAGTAATTGTATATTTGACCTAACATACTATGTTTGCAATCCTTGCAATTGATGTCAGTTGAGACTAAGCCTAATTCGTCCTTCCCCTCACCCAGAGAAGGATATTTGTAAACTAAAACCCATGCAACTGTGATTTCATCTTAATACCTGTTACACAGCTGAGAAGCCTGGTTTAATGCTGCTAACTGGTAGTCAGCTTGTCTGTGCCAAAACAGTGAATGAAAAAAAATATTTTCTGTTTGTGCACAGGAGTGTAACATCAGGGATTTTAGTAGGGATGCTGTAAATAAAAAAGTTCATTACAAAAACCAGTTATAAGCTATCTAAAGATTCACTCTCAAACATGAGTTAAGTTAGCCTCTAGTAATTATCAAAGCTCAGGTGTGTAGGACTCTATAAGTCTGGTTTAGTTTCTGTAATGAAGAGTCCACATCACAAAGTCACTTTGAAGAAAGTGGTTTTGGAGGCAAACATGAGGCAATAGATCAGAGGAAGGTGAGTGACTGGCAGTGCAGAGGAGACCTTCAGCTCTGTTTTCTGAGAGGTGTTTGTGGGTGATGTCAGTGTGTGTATCTGTGTTCAGAGGCAGGCATGGCTAAATGGGAATGGCCAAGAGCAGGGGCAGGGACAGCACGAGACTGCTGAGGAGCAAGGATGGAAGGCAACATGGGGTGTAACAGAAGAAAAAGACTGTGAATTGGATATGGACCAGCCTTCTTTTTTAGCTTGCTGGGGGGAATGAATTCTGTCCAGCACATTTCATTTTAGATCATGCCTGTCTTACTTTTTGGTAGTCTGCTTCTGCCATGTGCTCAGATATTGAAATGACCTTTCTTGTTCTTCATCTTGGCAGTTTTCAGTGCGACTGCCAAGAAAACTAAAACCCTCTTCCTTATTCCTCGAAAGCATAATCAGGGAGTTAAGAAGCCAAGATTAGTTTTGCTAATAAATGTGTACAAGAGAACTCCTTTGGGGATTTCTATTTTTCTAAGTATTTGCTTTAAAGGAAAATGAGTTTCTACCCCTCTCAGGAGATAGTTGGGGTTTGTCTCATCCTTCTTCATGTTGTAGAATGGAAAACACCCAATAGGTCTGGTCATTGATTTTCCAAAACACCCTTTTTTCACTGTTTTGGTGGTGTAATGTTTTGCTTTCCAAGGACACTACAAGACACAGCCCATCCCCTGAGGAACTCTGGTCAGTACTATCTGTTTCCTCCAGGGAATAACAGCAGGCATGGTAGCTCTGTCAAATTAATGTGTGTCAAGGTCACCATTCCTTGTAGGGGCTGGCTTGCCTTGGAGAAAGGGACAAGGGTCTCTAGGTAAACAGAATCTGGTGTGTGATAATGAGTGTACGTTCACAGATATGCAGAATCCTTATTTCAGGTTGCTTCAGGCTGTGTGAGAACATGTCTCAGCATATATTTGTCTGATGTCAGCTGGTGCATTGGAAAAGGAGCAGACATGAGCAGGGGGAATTTCCACTTGGGAACAGAGAACCTGCACAGCAGCCCATCACACAGCTTGTTAGCCTCTGCCCAAACAGGGTGAATGGATCCAGCCTGATCAATGACTTTGTGCTGGCTGCAGCCACAGATTACTCTGAGACCATTCATAAATTATGGTTTAAAGAGTTAACATTTTTCAAGGGCTTGAAACAATTAGGTGCATAGATCGAAATAATGCATTGTCATGGAAGTTTTACATTGTGTGTCTGCAGTATGTGGTATTCAGTCTTTGCTGTTAGAAGCTGCCATCTGTGCAAATATTTTAACTGATACCATTCTGAAAGAAATTTCATGAGTGGCAGAAGAAAAAGTAAGTTATTTAATTAATGATTTGGTTGCACATATGGACATGAAATCCCTGGCCAGATGCATTCAGACATTTTGGGTCTTATAAAATCAGCATGGCTGGTCTTTAGATAGCCAGTGACAGGCACCCACAAATAAAGTTAATACTGCCAAAAGCCCCTTTATTTGTGTGGGGCTTGGGTTGCTCTGCGTGTGTGTACTTCATCTCTCACCTCCTCTTGTGTTTCTGGTTTTGCCTTTTCAGTACAGCAACAACCCCTTCAGCTGAGGCCCTTTGGATTGCTTTGATATAAGAAAGATCAAAGAGAAAGCAAGGCTCAGCTGGTGGCCTTTCCCTTTAAAGCAGTGACTTTCAGGCCATGTCTCTGCTACAGATGTTTGCTGGCAGGACTGTGTCAAACCAGGTTTGATGGGGAGTTTGATCCCTGTCAGGCAGATTTGTGTGAGCAGATGCAATTTTTCTGGTTGTGCTGCATGTGTTTGCTTGGCAGGAGTGAGCAGAGAATGGTCCTAACTGTGCTCATGGTGCAAGGGCAACTTTGTCAGTTCAAAAGGAATTTGCACATGGGGGTCCCTGTCCTTGCACATGCAGCAGTTCTCAGGCTGAGCAGTGTTCCTGTAGCTGTGCTGCCCAGGAAAAAAAGCAGCTGAGCCTTTAAATTGATACTGCTCTGTTGGCAAAGACTCTGAAAGAAATGTAAAACAGCTCTCTGGTGTTGAACTGATTCTGGTTTAGGAACTGGTTTAGCCTGTGCTGGCACAGAAGCCCTCTCTGTGGCAAGCTTTTTTCAGCTGGAATGTGTTTATCCTCTCACGTTTAATTCTCATTTGTTGGAAAACCTTTCTATAAAAGTAAGACATCAGTTTCTCCCCTATAGTTGGGGTTTTAGTAGAAATCCTGCTGTGAAGATCAAGCGAGAGAAGATGGACCTCTAAAATATGACTGGCCTCAGAAGCCTTCCCGTTTTTGGTGGAAATGCAGTGCTTCAGTGTTTGCCAGAATGGATCATAATTCCAGTGTTTCAGAGATGTTTCCTCTTGGTAATTACTTGAACATGTCACTAATTCAGGTACTTTAGAATTCCTTTCATTTTCAGGATGTTGAGTTTGTAGTGCCAAGAAGATGCATTTTGGGCATCATTTTGGAATTATGGGCTGCTGAGAATGAGCTTGACAGAGGGGCTGCTCAGGACACACATCTGTGCCTACAACCAACATGCAGAACTGCACCTTCTGGAACAGAAAAAGAAATGGATCTACTTTTTGCAGTGAGAGCTGTTCTTGGCTTGATCCTCAGACAAAATTTAGAGTGTGATACTGTTATCTCCTGCCACAATCTAGACATAATCTACACTAAATTACTTTTAGTTCTATTTAATTTCTTACTGGTTCTCTTTTTTTGTCTGGTTTCTCTTTTGTATAAGCACTAAAGATGGTCCAGGTTGTGGATTACATGAGATGTAATGCATGTTACTGAACTCCACTACCATGAATTCAGGTAAGTGCTACTTAAGCACAAGTTTTGTTTATTTTTACTAAGAGAAATGCCTTTACTGAGAAACGAACTTATATTAATACTGTTTTCTAATGCCTCCATCTTTTTGAACACAATTGGAATTTACCCCTTTCCTAGATGTTTTTATTTTATTTTATCTAATGTTTTAATTTTTATACTGTTGTTAGGTTTATTGAGCTTCCAGTAAAGGATTTTTTTTTAAATAATGATTTGAAGGTGTGGGGTTTTTTTTAAAGTATGGTCTTCGAGCCTACTTTTGCAACAACCTACTCAGTTGGGTTTGAATCAGATTGATTCAAAGCTCTCTGAAATCAATGGAAAACTTCCAGAAGATTTCATGAGCTTTGGCTGAGGCCTTTTTTGAGAGCATGAGAATGAATGCATTTTTGGTTGTCACTGTTGCATTCTTAAATCTGAACAAGCAGAAAATTGGATTTATTACTAATAGAATCGGATCTACAAAAACAAAGGACCTGTAGTTCTCTACTGTAAGGGGTATATTTTGGCAAGATGTAGAGCAGGTAACTCTTACAATGTGAAAAATGTAGACAATTGGAATTAACTGCAACCAAATATACCCTGGAAGAACAGCTGTAATTTATAATGCAGTCAGGAATGCACTACAGGCTCCTCAATCGATAAGCTAATGGGAAAAAAGCCTGCAATTAATTACAAATCAACTGGGTCAATATCCTTTTAATGAAAGATATGAAATTGCTAACATTTGGATGGAACTTCTTTGCCAAGTATATTTATAAACCTCATATAAAATATGATATTTATAAAAAGAATAAAAGCTCCTTTCACTGTAAAAGATGGCACTCTGAATGCCTGATTTCCTTTTGCTCTAAAAATTCAACTGAACTGGCTTTATTTCAACAAGTTTTCTACTGTGTATAAAGGAAGTGAAGTAATCTTTTACCTTTAATTCAAGACCTTACAGTGAAGCAGAAGAGCTATAAATAGAATTCCCAGGGTGATGCTGGCCATGACTTCATGGTCAAAACATCTGAAATGATGAAAGTTTGTGCCCAAATGGTTCTCTTAGTAGATGTCAGGACCTGAAGCATTCTGACTGTTGATCCTGGTAATCTAATATCTTGTTATATTTACAGAAATAGCCCCAGAAAGGGCAGCCAGGGCAGGAGGAGATGGGCTAATGCTGGCACTGGAAGGCAGCTTGTTGTCTGTGGGGTCTCGGCTTCAAAAAACTCTGGGCCTTTACAATTTGCTAAACTGGGAGTGCTACTTACCCAGAACCCTTTTCATCTGGCACTGATGATTTTTTCCATATATAATTGATAACACTTCTGCTTTTTCTTAAAAAGGTGGAGGATAATCATTGCCAAGGAGGAAATATTATTATTTAAATTGTGAATTTCTTTTTTTTTTTAAGATAAATTTGTTTCATTACCTTCCTACATGCTTTTTATTGTCCTTTTTTGGGGGCAGTGGAAATCAGAGGATTGCATTGTAATTATATAACATTAATGACACTTAACTGAAGGGTAACTATTCTTGAACTGTAACATATTCACTGATAGTGGAGAATTTTTTTCAAGCAGGTGGACAAAATATCCTCGAAGAATATGACAGTAAAGGAAAAGGAGGACAAGTTTAGTAAAGGAAAAGGAGGATAAGTTTAGGGCTTTATTACTTCGTTTTTGCCCTTTACCATCACTACAGAGGCTGCTGGATTTAACCTTTATCATCATAGAATTTCAGAGATATTACTAGGTTTCCCAGATTGACTGAGGTTTCTGGGGTTGCTTGTTCACATAAAAAAATATACCAGTCTCCTTTCTTGCAGAGAAGAGCAATTTATTTCAACACACAAACAAGGAAATCAAATTCTGCCCACACAGTGTTCCTGGGTCCACCATGGAAGTCCAAACCACAATATCCAGGGGAGTTGCTGAGATGTGATATGTGAACAGCATCCCTTTGTTTTCTTCATCTTTTAAGGTAGAATGAAGCTGCACTTTCCAAGTTAGTGAAAGAAAATATGAACATGTGGAAAGAGGATCTGGAAGAGCACTTGGAAGTGGGTGAGCACTGGCCCATTGAAAGGGGGTCTTTACCCAACAGCAAATGTCTGGAGCAACCCCTATCAGAAACTACAGGAAAAGGGATGGTTACTAACTTTATTGGACTTGCCTAATCCAGAAATACCTTGATGATGAATTTTTTGTTTCCACTTGCCAATTTTTATAAAATAAAAAAAAAAAACAAAACAAAAAACAAACAAACAAAAAAACAAACAAACAAACAAAACAACCAAAAACAAAAACCAAAAAGCAAAAACTTCTGGAGCCCTTTTTTATTTACTGGTCAAATACTGATAAATCAATGTCTTTCATTTATCACAGAATCAGAGGATTTGCTAAGTTGGAAGGGACCCACAAGGCTCATCCAGCCCAGCTGCTGGCCCTGCACAGGACCACAGCACGTGCCTGGGAGCACTGTCTAAACACTTCTGGAGCTCTGTCAGGCTGGTGCTGTGACCACTTCCCTGGGGAGCCTGTCCAGTGCCCAAACACCCTCTGGGTGAAGAATATCTCTCTCATATCCAAGCTAAACTTCCCCTGGCACAGATTCAGACCACTCCCTCGCGTCCTGTCCCTGGTTACCTGAAGCAGAGATCAGAGCCTGTCCCTCCTCTCCCCCTCACAAGGAAGCTGTGACTGCACTGAGGTCTCCCCTCAGGCTCCTCTTGTCCAGGCTGAACAAACCAAGTGACCTCAGCTTCTCCTCATGTGGCTTCACCTCCAGACCCTTCACCACCTTCCTCACAGTCCTTTGGATACTCTCTAAGAGCCCAATGTCTTACATTGCAGTCAGAAAATCTGCACACAGTGCTGATGTTAAAATTCTAGCCCCATGTTGTAGACCATTGACTGCTGGTTTAAAAGACAAGAATTTTTGATACAAAAATCTAGTAAACCTTGAGTCTTACAGGCAGGGCAGGACACACAGTCAAACACACAGGTGAGGGATGCAGGATTGAGTGATTTTAGAGAGGAATGCTTGACAGCTTCCATCCAATGAAATGATGGTTTTTGACCACTGTCTTTGCACCTTCCATTGTAGCTCTGTCTTGGTGCTTTTACTGCCTGCAATGCTGCTATCCTCATGCCTGATGCTGAGAAATCTGTGCTGATGTCTGAGCAGCGTTGAGCTGCTCATGAATCTTTCTGTTGTCTCCTCCTTCCCAGATTGTATGGCTAAGACACAGTGTGCTCACCCACCCAAATGTTGGTCCCAAAGGACTGCAGTGAGGAGAGCCCTTCTGGAGTCTTGGCTGCTGTGTGAGCTTCATGAAGCTTCGATGAAACATCTTCAATTTGGATTTCTTCTCAGGTAGCACATTGCTGAGCCAGGCTGTCTCTGGGGGAGGCTAGAAGCACTGAATCGCCACCAACTTGGCAATATTTTAGGTAAGCATGGTCTGTCTCAATGTGAATGACACCCTTGGCTCACAAAACACTTCTGCTACTTGGAACGAGAATGTGATCTGTTTCCAGTCCTCTCCACTCTTTCTTGTGACATGGTTTTTCTCAGCCTCTTCCAACAAAATGTAGGGAGTTTATAATATATCATAAAACATAGATATGTCAGTGTATTGTAATATGTTCATTAGTATAAAGGTAGAAAGGAAGAAAATCATGACAACTGCTCATGATTCCATCAAAGAAGTCAATTTTTGGGTGAAAATTATATAATGATGGTTGTTTGTTATCACAGCAACTAGAAATTCCTATGCTATTTGACCCTTTCAGTATATTTTATATACATCCCAGAAGCTGTCATGCCAATTACTTTTCACCTCCAGGCTTTTAGTACTTGATCATTTCATCTTTCATCTTTCTGGAGACTGAGTTCTGATTTGAGTTCCTATTTCTCATTTGCAGTGACAGGGAAAAATATTGGTCAGCCTCACTTGGAAGTGGAATTCATTATATAAATGTCCAAGCTGTTCCTTTATTATTTAATTTTTATATATTATATAAATGTCCATAGGCTCCTTAAAAAAAAAAAAAAACAAAAAACAAAATAGAACATTTTAGAAAATTCCCAAGTGAATGAATGAATGGCTGATACTATTTTAATAAAAGATAATATTAGCACAACACTGACACATATATCATTGGTTTAGTCAAAATGTTAGTAGCATCACTGGTGATGATACAGACACATGCAAATTACCAGAGAAAATGTCTGAATTTCACATCTATAGACACAGCACTGCAAAGCTATTGCTCTTCTTTCAATCACATTCCACCTGCTCAGGCAGCTGCAGATAGATTAGAAATGCTGATGAAAGCTGTACAAGAAATTCTGTTACTGTGACAGTAGCTGATTCCCCTTCTACCTGCAGAAGCACAACCTTTTTTTTTGTCTGCATTTGCATCATTATATATTCAAAATAAATTGAACACATGATATCTGCATTATTAAGAATATATTTTTTATTAAGCTACAGAAAATGATTGGCACTGAAATTCCTTTTCACATACCATTCAAGAGGTTAAATCTTTTGAGAACTAAAACACAAAACAAACACAACCAAGAAAATCCCAATCAAGCAAAACCTACAACAGTTTTACATAGAGATAGCTGCATTTCTGGTCAGCTAAAGAATGCTGCCTCCACAATTCTATTGTAGGCCATGCTTCATTTCTTTTGACTTTCTCTTCAGTTAATAATTGGGTTTCCTAAATGCAAATGCATTATGACAATAATCAGGTTTTAATTTAAATTTAAATGCATTCCTTAGTGTATCCAGTCAAGCTGTCTTCCTTCCTTCCTTCTGATGTGGCTTTTTGGGGGAAAGTGAATGCAATTCCATAGAATTTTTTTCTGTTTTTGTCATTGTTTAGTCAGTCATTCTTTCAGAGACAGACTTTAAACCTTTTACTGTCATTGGCATGGTAAGGCTGCTGTCATTGACTGGTCTCATGGTGTAAGTGGCAGTGGAAAAGGCTCATGGAATAATGAATTTGTGATTCTGCACAGAAGAGCTGGGAGAGCTGGGAAGGGAAGACATCTTGAAAAATATGAAGCTTGAGGTAATTTCTTGTTTTATGCTGTATGTTGCTATTTCAAGAAATAGTAGTGATCAGTTGTTTAAAAGAGTAAAAGGGAAGAAAATATTTATCCCAGTATTGAAGGCTTCTTGTGCTTGTTTATTTTGACAACTAAAATTCTGTGACGTACTACAGTGCTGTCCTTCAATAGCTGAACAGCTGACAAAATAGAAAACCAGTCAAAGCAGCTTCCATGCTGGGCTAGTTCTCACCATACAGGCATGTTCTTTCATCTAGGTAGTACAACATTTTTCTTTCACATGGCTGGAGCAGGGCTAATCTATAGTTTGTATGGCCCTTTTTCTGTTGTGTGTTATTTCCAGCAAGAGGGATGACTTTGCTTAATGTCAGCTGCCAACACAAGAAGTCAGACTCTGGACAGCAACAAGTCTCTGCCAGAAATATCTGCTGTGTGGGGAAGGCAAGAAGTGGGGAGTGTCTCACGTGTGCTGCTTATATCCAATGGCCTGAGTTCAAATAAATAATGAAATCACATTTCTTGCTTTGATCTCCAAGTGTGCTGTTACTTTGTTCCATCACCTTGCTCAATTCAGTTCAATTTACCTGTTTGTAAAAGGTGTTCCATAATATTTGCTTCATTTATGGTGATTAAATCCTCTGTTATTAGTTTAGATCCACTCTTTCTTCTTGTTACCTTATACATCATAGGAAATCAAATTTTCTCCTTTGGAGGAAGTATTGCCTTCATACATAAGGTAAACAGAGTAGCACAAAATTCTAAGATGAATTAGAGGAAGCTGGGAACACAGAAAATAACATGGATATTCTTTGCTAAGAAAGGTGGAGGTGTTAGATGTTGAGCCAATACCTGGAAATTCATCAATACCTGGGTTATCTGCTCTTTCTTCTAAAGGGGCTAACCTGATTTTTTTAACAATTTATTAAAGCATTTTAGGAAATACTTGAAAGTGTCCAAAATAATTATATAAAGCACTTGTCTTTTGTGTGACCTGTACAAAGTGAGCCATAAGAAACAATTCCTGGTGAGAGTGGGTTTTTTTAAACATGCATTCTATCAAATTGACAAATGAAAATCTTTGGTTTTTAAATTAAAAGAGCAGCCAATTTGTAATGAATTTTAATATAGACTAGCTCCTGACCTTTCCTCCTTGCATGTCCTCACATAATTTCTGTAATTGGTTTTAGCAGTTATGTACATTTATTTAAATGCTGTATCTGGAATAAAATACTTTTTTTGATTCAAAGGAGCACTTTTTGTATAAAAATGTATTTTTTGTAGAAAAATACAGACGTTCCTGATGTTAAGCCAGCCCATAACAAAGCTCAGTTGTTTGGCTCTTATGAGACAGAAATGTAACACTGGTACACATGGGTTGCTTGAAACCAGCTACTGAAAGGTGCATTTCATACAATATTTTCCTGGATTTTTAAAAACTATTTTAGCATTCTGACACAGTGCCTCATTGGTATAAACTGCTGCCAACAGTAGATACAAATTTAGTGTGTCCCTAGCCTGCTTTGTGAAATTATGGCACAACGTTTTGAAACTACGCCAGTTTAGGATACAAGGAAAAGTGCTGCTAGCTCTTGGCTTGCTACTGTAAATGTAGAACATTAAAATGATGATTAATGGGAAATTGATGGAATTCAGTCCTGCCCAGGAAGACCTAAGAGGGAAAGGAGACAGAAATAGGTATCACAGTCCTGGCACTTGATTTGTTTTCTTGGAACCTGATTTTCCTCTGCCTGAAATCTGCTATAAGTTAGGAAAAATCAATAGCACTTGATTGTGAGACTTGGGAAGCAAGGGAGAGCTCTGGGTTGTGCTGACATGGGACAATTTTAATTTGGTGCTATTTTTCTTGCACTCTCATTTCTCCTCTGCCAAATTCACTTTGCTTCGGCACTGTTTGTGACCTCTTCATCTAACTTCCTTCTGGGGTTTGTTAGTTATTTTCCTTCATTACCATCATCATCTAACCCAAGTGCTTGCACACACATCCTTCTCCAAAGGTAGGAATCAGAATTCAAATCCAGGAGAAAGTGCTTGGACAGCATTAACAGCTGAATCCCAGCTAGGCAAAAGTTACCAACTGAAGAGTTGATCACCACTCTTTCCCCAGTTTTTTAGCATAATTA